AGTTCGATTGTCAAATGGAGTCTGATCATTGCCTAATTCGAAACAGATACTCGCTCATTCATACTTCCATTCAAAGCACCTTTCCTCCGAAACTGAATTTCGACCTGTCTTGCGAAACGTCTGACTTTTGTCCATCTCGTTCTACTTGTCTCTAAAACTTGTCTCGCCGAATACTGTCGCGTCACACCTTCACCGAAAACAAACGAATCGCGTTCGCGCCGGAAAATACCGTTTTAGAAAAAAAGCCAGTTGTCACGTTTTCCTACGTATATCCATCGGAAAATTGTTGGGAAAAAATTATGTTCGCCAAACGTTTGGTCCCTGTCTTAATTTGGAGGCTAGTCGGTGCCGGTGGTGCGAGTGTGTGAAGAATTGTGTTGAGGCTTACTTATCTATCCTATCGTAGCTGTACAATCCATCGCAATGCTGTGTGTGTGTGTGTGTGTGTGTGTATGTGAGCGTGTATGTGTAACTGTGTGGGTGTATTAGTGTCGAGAAAAAAAAATTTCCCGATCAGCGACGCCCATTTTGGAGAACGTTCTTGCCCAAATCCCCATTCTGTGGATGACGATTGTTGCTCGCCGGACGATGTTGCTTCGGCGGACAGGGTTGTACAAGGGCGATCACCAACGACCAGGCGTACACCGATGACGAACAGAAGCATTGGTTCGATAAAAACGATTATCGTTGGTTGCGTGAACGAGGTGTATGCACTCGTCCAGCTTTAGGTATTTACATAGAAACTAACCCTATTTCGCATTATGTACTTGATTTAAGTTTACCAGTAAATTCTCAGTTTATGCTTGTGATATCAAGGTGTATTTACATACTACTTAATCCGAGGAAAAAACGCCCTGTAACGCAAAAACTGTTATAATAAGAACGATCAATGATCGACCCGCGTGCACGCCAACAGGAACTCGAGGTGACCTTTGTTTCTCTGTTTTTTCTCTGCATTTTTCCAAATACGATGCTACTTGTCTTTTTTTAAGTTTCTTTTTTTTTGTTCCATTTGCACCTGTACCTCGACTCGAGTACGATTTTAGGGAAAATAGTTGGTTTTTAGAGTGAAATTGAAAGCTCTCGGGGTGATCAGTTTTTTTTTTTTCTTTTTTCTTTCTCTCGAACTTTCGGCGCAACTTTTGGGCGGCGAGTCCATCGAGTTCCGGTCGCGAGGCGAGTGCAATCGTTAAATGTAGCTTTGACGATGAATCTTTTAGCAATCTTTTCTTCTCTCGTCCCAGATGGTGAAAAAGCCTGGCTATCCGGCGGCTTCTCGGCGCGTGTCTTTTACGTTCAACGAAGATGACGACGTTAGGCTACTTTCATAATTGGCGAACAAAGGGGTTGAAAAGAGGGATCCCCTGAAGAGAAACGGAGAAGTTAGGGATAGAATTCGGAGTTGAAAGAATTTCCTTTTCGCGATCTTCCGAAAATGCTTGGAATTTCTTTTCTCTCTTTCTCTCTCTCTCTCTTTTTTCTTTTTAATTTTTTAAATCGTCGAAATCGTTCACATTCGAAACCAAAATCGCTCATAATTTAACAAAAAAAGATGTTCTCTTTTATCTTTTTCATCTGTACCTCGGGACAGAATTGGGAAAATTCGTCGAAGGGATCGAAGCGATCATGGGGGGGAATGGAAATTGAACAAAGTATAGAAAGGTGGAGAGGAACGGGGGAAATCCGTACGAACAGGTCACGGAACGAAAATCTCGTCGAGAATCTCCGAACAGGGGAACAACAACAACAACAACAATTGTGGTCGACGTACGATGTCACGGGGAAGAAAAAATTCGGCACGCTACCATTCATTTCCGCACTCTTCAGTCCGCGATTGCCAGTCGAAGAAACGAAGAAATCGAACGTGTCGTAGGTGAATCGTCGATCAAACGATGTATATATATATATATATATTTTCTTTTTTCTCTTTTTGGATGATATTTTTGGAAATTTTGTTTTGGACCGCCTCTCACTTTAATACGTTATTTTTTTCTGTTTTCTTTTTTCGTCGTTAAAAAAAATTTCACGTTGAGTTTCGAATCACCGTCCGTATCGGTCTTTTTCTTTTTTTCTCATTCTAAACGAGGATTCGAATTCGAAGAGAGAAACGCGTTTCTTTTCGGATGCGCGTGTGGTTTTTACGGTCTAACGTATTCGTTTCATCTCTGGTCTGGTCTCGTCGAAAGAAACCCCATCGAAAAAGTACGGACAGTCCAGGAGTTTTATGAAAGGTCGGAAAAAGGGGGAATCGGGGTCGAGATTGATGGGGCATCACAAAGAGGTATTTAGGAGTAAGGGGCTGGCCCGAGTTTCTAAAAGTTCGCTCCACGGTCAAACCTACGGACTTTCTATATATTCTTCTTCTTCTCCTCTCCCTCGTCATCCTCATCTTCGTATCTTATATTTTTTTCTCTTTTCGTTTTTTTTGAATTGATCCACCTCTGTTCTGCTTCTCCTTCTTCTTCTTTCTAAGTATTGCGAGAACGTAACGGTATATTGCAAGTAAAAGTTCGAAACGACGCAAGTATTTTTACGCGTTCAGATATATACCCGGAAATAAAAAAATATTTCGCTTATAACGATCACAGGACCTCAGATTACCTGAAGCACGCCACTCTAAAATCTCTCATTCACTCCATTCTTACATTCGCTCTTCCTTGATGCTCACGAAGCATTCTCTTTCGCGCGGCTCCTCTTTCATTCAACCGCGTGCCCGTGCACGTACGCGACAATCCCAAGGTCGTTCATTCACGAAATCTTGCACGTGCTCTTCCCCTCTCTCTCTCTCTCTCTCTCTCTCACATTCTCTCTCTGACACTCTCTTCCTTTCTTCCGATCTTTCTCTCGTGTGCGCATTCTGGCACCTCTTTCGATTCTCGCGCGCGTGTCTCTCTCTCATTCTCTCGTCGACGTGGCTTGGTATCGTGTACCACTGCCCGGGCACGCGCCTCGCATTCATTCGATTTTTCTCTTTCGCCTAATTTATCCTAGTCTCATAGACCCTATATTTATTATTTATAATATTTATATATATATAATATATATAATATTTAGCATTTAGTTTTTTTTATTTCTCTCTTTTCTTCATCAATTTTTCATTTTTTCTTGTTCTTCGTCATCTCTCTCTGGCGTGCTTGTTTCACTAAAAAAATGCTTCCGCACACTCTCACGATTTACTCTTTGAAAATGTGCACGTGTACATTGGAAGGAGGGGGGCCCCCCTCGGCTATCATCCTCGGGCCCCCGTCCCATCATGTGTATCGTCTTCATTTTTTTTTTTTTTTCGTTTTGTTTCCATCATACACTCCAGACTCTCTGTATGTATATATAATATATATAATATAACTGTTTGTAATAATTATATTTTGTTTGTTCGCTTACGAGCTAATAGTTTTCGTGCTGCCGACCAGCACAAGTTGCGCGCATTCTTTATATCCTTACGTGGAGTAGATTTTTTTTTTTTTATTCGCGTGTATATTTAAGGTGTGTATTGATGTGTATTAGTGTGTATTCTGTGTAACAAGGTTTCGTGTGTACATGTATCACTAATATAGCGGCGGTCGACGATTACGTCGTGCCGCACGATTACGCGGATCAGACCGTCCGTATTTCTTCTTCTTCTTCATTTTTTTTTTCTTCTTCTTCTTGTAACTTGTTCCGCGTTTGTCCGATAAACGGGAAGGGGGATGCGTGTACGCGTATTGAACCAACGAACGTACGAGGATTAGCCGATCCACCTGACCGCGTTTACGCACATATCAGACGCGTTGTTTCTGCCTTAAACGTTACGGGAGCTAAGATTAAGGGTACCTTAAAGTGGTTTCTAGGTATGTATACATGTATATATATATAGTTTAGTTTGTTGAGCCTAGACCGACCGGCTGGAATCGGTTTCACGATTCACCCGTCGTCATCCTATCCAGCTCGGCCGAGTCTGCGTTCGGCTCTTGTACTAAAAAAAACCATAGTACTCTGCGCGACCTGACGTCGTCCCCGTTTGATTTCAGGAACGAGCAGGCACGCGCGGTTGGTTAGCAGTTTTCATTTCGATATAGTATGGCACGTTTCAGGGGTGATCTCGGAACAGCGGCCGCGGCAATGCGTCCTGTGAATTCTGACAGAGCGACTCGACGAAACAAAGAATATCGCACGAGGGAGAAAACCGACGATCGTCCGCTCGAATTGAATCGTCGTCGGATCGTGCTCGAAGGACGAGCGTGGGCCTTCTCGCTCGGCGAGCGTTGTCGTTCTAGGAACTCTAGATCCAGGACTCGAGTAGGAACAACGTGATCCACGCGAAGAATCGCGCGCTGCTAGAAGACCATTGCCACCGCTGTCGTCGGTCACGCACCGTCTAACGGATTTCTAGATACCGTATGTGATCGTTATCCCTCCCTTTTCGTTCGTCACTCGAAGAGAAGAGTGTTTCACACAGTTTGGCGCGATTGGCCGGCGCGAGGTCTTTCGACCCCCGTCGGCGCATCGGCGCACCAGTGAAAATAAGACTCTTTTCGTCGAGATCCTGAGAAACGTGTGATTTCTCAGGGTCCCGTTGATTGAATTGGAACAGTTCATTTCTACTACTGAGACAGGAGTAATGTCGCGGATGACCTCGCTTGGACGCCCGGGTGTGTTGGAATCGACGCAGAAGACGACAAACGGTTCGCACGGTTTATCGTCGATGTACGTCGTTCTTTACACGTTGTCAGAGTTACCGATCATATCGTCGGCCTTCCTCTTGACACCACGACCTTCAGGATGCTGCTGCTGCTGCTGCTGCTGCTGTTGATGCTGTTGATGTTGCTGCTGCTGCTGCTGCTGCTGTTGTTGCTGCTGCTGCTGCTGTTGCTGCTGCTGCTGCTGCTGCTGCTGCTGTTGATGGGGATGAAGACCGATGCCAGACGAACCTTGTTGCTGCTGCTCGCTGAGTGTTATCGAACGCTCAACGCCTTGAAGCGTTTGCTGCTGGAGGCCCGTCTGATCCGACGTCCAAGGGGTCCACTCGTCTCAGTAGTAACTGAATTTTCATGGTTGCTGATTGTTCTGCTGACTGACGACGTGCTGGAGAGTGAAACTCAAGGCTCGAGGATCGCTGTGAAGCCTCAGGGCCTGTTCTAATCGCTGCTCTTGCAATCGCAGCGCTTCCCCTGTTAAAACTTTTTATCGTCATGATCGTAGGATCTTGGAGTTCACGGAGGGAGCTGTGCGAAACTGACCAGACTAGATTTGCGGATGTTCGGACACCAGGTTTCTAATATGCCGAATGCAATTGTAATTATACATAAACGTCCGTAGTCTGCCAATGTTTGAACCAGGCGGATACGTTCATACGTCTGCTGGAACGTTTAAACATCGAAAGCAGAATGTTGGAATATTTGACGAACGAGACGTCTCCATTAATCATCTTCCAATTGTCTGGTACAAATTCACGCGAAACATCCGCAGTCTGCCGATCACGATCTCGAAGGATAAACTTACCAATATCGGGCGGTATGTTGTCTTGCTGAGACATCTGCTGGTTCGTGTGATGTCCAGGTATCCCGGAGGTGCTGCCTCCGTTGTGCTGTCCCAAATGATGTCTCACGTCTCCGCCAACCGCGGAACTGGCTGCCGCCGCTGCTGCCTGCGACACCTACCATCAAAGTACCAGCAACTTACTTTCCTATACTTTCTCTGTTTCGCGATGCAATCGACGACGATCGATAGTATTGACGGAAGAAGAATGAGTTATGAAATTCCATCATAAACGATCCGCGAGAAAGAAAGCACAGTCTACTCACAGCCAGTCTGAGCGCGGCTTCGGCTTGAGAACGCAGCAAGGCTTCCGCCTGCTGCATCCTCAGAGTCTGTTCCGATCCTGTTGCTTGAACTCCCTGCTGCTGCGGTCCCGTTGATCCTTGCGCACCACCGCTCATGTCACCGTTGTTGCCCATCCTCATTGCCGCCGCCAGGGACGCCATCTCCACCGGCGATAAATTCGGCGACACTGAATTCTGCAAACCTGTCGATCATATGCAAGTTGAGGTCTCATCTTCGAATCACGCCAGAGATCGCGTTGCGCGTGCACGTCGATACTCTCGAGGAGTGCGTGTTTGAAATCGTGATTGAAAATTAGTTCAGTTAAGAAGCAGGCTTCTCTCGATGCATGTTTCGATGTCATCTGCTCTAAATCAGTGAACTATCACCCATCGATACGTTCTGAGATCGAGAGGGCACCGTGCGCTTGGCGAGAGAAGATAAGGAAAGATCCTTGCGTTGGGGAAAAAACATAATTATAAATCAATCTTTATCGCTGGTAATTAGAACGAGCCAGGCGTATCTTTTCGTCGTTGAAGCATTGTCGTTCGTCACGATAAGAGCGGTATCGACGGCCTTGAACGGACGGAGGCTTTCTATCGCGACGATTCCTCGAAGCGATCCGGCCGATCGATCCGATCCAGCGACGACGAAGACGACGATGACGACGACGACGACGACGACTCGGGAACGCGAAGCGGATTCTTACTTACCCGCTGTCACCGCGGCGGCGGCCATCACTGCCATACGTTGTTGTTGCGACTGCATCTCGTCGTGGTACTGTTGCACGGAGCCTGGTTGACTTCCTGCTCGCAGCATCTCGCTCAGCTTGTTGCCACTCGGCCCCGGCGACGCCATGTTATTGTTGTTGTTATTGTTGTTATTGTTCAGCAGACCGGTACCTGCGCAAAAGTCTGCTCTCGTTAGTATGCTTTTGCACGGCCCCGGTTCCAGGACGGTGTGAAGTCGCGCTATACAAAACTACAATCTATAGAGTCGCATTAGTAAAAAAATGAGACGAGTATAAAACGACGGAGAGTGAGCTTGAGCGTTCGTATGACGAAATTACTCACACAAGAATTCGTGGATGATTTATTTTACTCAGATAAATGTGTAATAATAATAATAATAATAATAATAATAATAATAATAATAATAATAATAATAATAGTAATAATATTTACTACAATAACTCTCTCGCTGTGGTATCATCGAAGCTCGGCGATCATTGCTTAAAATGGTATAATGATACATTTCAAAAAACGTGTTTACACGAGAAAAAGTCGGTTGTCGGTTCTTGGTGTATCAAGACTGGGTTTACTCTAAGATATTATGTATTCACGGCACTCTACACGGATTATTCCAGACGACCATTTGCAAGAAGACGAGGAACAAGATCGGAGCGTACCAGGTTCACTACCGGCCGACGATAACCTTCCATTTCCACTGCTGCTGTCCGAATGAGCCGACGGCGAAGGGCACATTGGTGGTTGTTGTAAATTTTGAGGTCCGCCTGTTTGGCTTCCCAAAACACCCAATCCCGCACCTGTACACGAGAATCGTACATGTGGTTACCACGGTTGCTGCCTGACCTTCGAAATCCTCAATTCTCAACGTTTCAAGAGTTGAAACGAGTAGCTACGATTAACCTCATACCTAGACTCGAAGACGCGAGGATTTCTCTCTCCCGCCTCTCGGCGGCGGCGCGACTTAAAACGTATTGCGCCGCGAACTGATGCTTCGGGTCCATTCTCATGTGCTCCATGTGACTCAACAAACCTACCACAGCAAAGTAAATCGGTCTCGATTTAGAGTCTCGGTTAGTTGGACAATGGTTAGATCGCTATCGACTAAACGAAGAGATTCGATAATGTCATTAGAACGAAGGATATATGTATATAACGTACACCAAAGGACGAAAAATCGATAAAAAACGAAAAATGTAATAGCATGATACGTCACTTTTGATACATGATTTCTTTAGAATGGAGGATTATACTTACCGCTCTCGTGAGTGAAGACGGCTTGGCACACCGAGCACGGCCACATCCTGAGGCTTGTGCTAAGTTGACTGGTCTCAGGATGGCAGGCCAGGTGTTTCCTAAGACTACCCTCGTTGACGTAGTGTTTTCCGCACACTGGACACGGGTGGTTGGCGGTCCGTCGCTTCGCTAGGTAAACCCCGGCAACGGAGGTTGTGCAGTCAGCGGAGGGAACAATAGGGCGACACAATTTCAAGGTCAATGCTAAGCAGGATAAAGCTTCCCAAGGAACGAAAGCATCCCTCCTCCATCATCATCATCATCATCATCATCATCATATCATCATCATCATCATCATCAGCATCATATCATCATATCATCACCATCGTCATATCACCACCATCCTTATTATCATCCTTCTTCGTTCTTTTTTTTTCATTATCATCACCATTATCATCACCACCATCTTCATCATCATCATCATCATCATCATCATCATCATCATCCTCCTTCTCCTCCTCCTCCTCCTCCTCCACCTTATTTCTCACGCATTCGCGTGTACATACGCGCGTACGTACGTCGACATTCCAGTCGACCTCGAAGGCGAAGGGAGAATCCTTGCAGACACGGATAGCCGAGGACCAGGAGAGCACTGACCTCGGACGTACCGCGCGCTGCTTCTGCCGTTGCTGGCTCCCTTTCACGAGCGAGGTCGTCGGCCCAAAAACCAAGATACACACGCACGTACGCGCGCTTGCACGCTTATAGACGCACAAAGAAAAGTTCGACGAATCTCTCTCGTTCTCTCGCACTGTTTTTTTCCCCCTTTTCCTCCACTTGCGGAGGAAATGTTCGCTCTCTATTTAGATAGTTAGTTCGCTTCTTTCCCTCCGTTTCTCCGTTTTACGTATCATATATGTATATATATATGAGTATACGTACGTATATATATTTATTCACTCTCCGTTTTTTTTCTCGGTTTCTCTCGACAGAGAAGAGATTCCGGCAATCATCCGGATGGACGACAGTGGAAAACGTTATCATCCGTTTATATTCCGTTTTATTTTATCTTTATAACGGTGTATTCCGTTCACGAAAGATGGGTTACTTACATTCTCTCTATATCACTATTATGCGAAAAGACACCAGGTCGATACTGGCACTTTGGTTCTACGTTACTGTGTTAGAAAACGATGGAGGAAACGAGACACAACGCGTTCGGGGGAAAAAAAAAAAAAATAAAAAAATAAAAAAAATAAAAAAGAAGAAAACGGTTGCATGCGGTTTTCGTAAAGAGATTCTCATTAAAACTTGGCGCACGTCCGCGCACGTCGATCGTTCTTCTCTGTACGTCTATCTTATATTTCATCTGTATGCCCACACACTTGACAGAAACACGCACAAAATTCGGAACGAGACACCCTTTTCTTTTCTTTTCTTTCATTTCTTTTTTTTTTTTTTTGTGAAGCACCGGTTTTTATATTAGCGAATAGTAGTACGCATAGTATTAGTTGGGCGAGTGCGCTAAGTGCTACACCCCCTTTTTCCGTTCAGCGAAACAGTACGAAGAAGTGACAGGACAATGTGTGCATATCGCCCGCGCCAAAGCAAGTTCTTAGGTGGGGGATGTGAAACGTACTTAAATACTAAGGACGAGCCACCCCTCGTGTCTCGAGGAGCGATCGTTCCACCTCTCTCGCTTTCTCTCTCTTTTTAGACTTACTCGCAATTAAGGCACCCTCGTTACGTCTATCTCCGTTCTTTCTTTCTCCTTGGCGGGAATTCTCGCGAGAAACCCTCGTTAGCCTGGTGTGTTAGAAAGGACGGACGGAATCCCCAGCAAAAGTCCTGAGAGACCAACGGGGTAAGAACCGATCGTAGAGAACTCGAAAACGTCTTGCGATTAGCCCGATCTTAATCTAACGGAAGATCGATCACTTTCCTCGTGTCTATGCAATTCTCCAACTAGGTGTACATACGTACGTACGTACAACGCGTCGCGATCGTCTACGAGTCGTTGTTCTTCACCCCGTCGCGTCTCCCAAAGACGGAAGCGCAAGAAAATTTGATTATCGCGTTTGAACGATCGTGCGTTAGTCTGAGAGACAGATAGTTGTAGCAGCGTTAGTGCGTAAAAAAAAAAAAAAAAAAAAAAAAAAAAAAAAACAGATATAATTGTAGATAGTTTTTCTCTTTCTTTTTTTCTACGGCATCGATACATGTGAAACAACAACAGAAAGAGAGAGGGAGAAAGAAGAAAATAAACAGCCAGGAGAAAGAAAGACCGAAACGGACGAAGACCGAGGGTGCGCTCGACTATCGTAGATACTTACTGGCAACGCCGGAGGCATTCGGATCCTTGTGGGTGTGCTTCATGTGCTCCATGAGAGCTTCGCCACCGAGGAAGAGTTTGTGGCAGACAGGACAGCTGGTTGCGTTCGGGCCGCCGATCAGGGCGGCGTGTTGCTGGAACACAACACGCTGTTGCAACTCCTTTTTTGAAGGCCGGAAGAAGAGGAACACCGGAAGCAGGCACACGCGGCGCACCGGTAGAGAGCCGACCCACAGAATACCACCACAGAGTCGCGAACCAGAAGCGCAGGACAGGCAGCGCACAGAACAGAACGATTGACCAGTGAGAGTTAGGGTACCGATTTACTGCCGCCACCACGAACTACTTTTTTTTTTTTTTCGTTTTGCAAAAGGGAATTCACCTCGAGTGTCTGGCAGAGGGGAACATTTAGGGAGAAGATTTATTCGGGCGTCGAAGCTGACTGACGGATCGTAAGTTGTTGATGGTCGATGGAACCTGTGATGATGGATGAAACTGGACGGATGAATGGATTGTTGATTGACATGACGCGTGGTTGTCGCGAGGAAAGTAAAAGTGTTATCTTTTTTTTTTTCTTTCTTTCTTTCGTAGATTCCTAGAATGTAAATTGGCGAAAGGGGGAGTGTACGGAGCGGAAAGGACGTATACGAGAGAGGGATAGAAAGGAGAAAGCAAAAGCCCAGACAGACGAATGTATAAAAAGCGTGAGGTCTGAAGAACGATCGGAACGAACGAACTGAACGCGATCAGAACAAGGATTCTGTATGATGGCTATTTAAAACAAAAAGTAACGTACAGCTTTGGCGGAACCATGGATCTCCGATTGATCTCGCACGACCTCACAGATGAACGGGAATGCAAAGCATAGATCAAATGACTAGCTACTACGACACAATTGCGATGGCCTTTGCCGCAGTTATCGGTTTAATCGTCGACGATCGGTAATTCTTGCAATATACGTTTCTTTGTATCTGATATAATCGACGGATTATGATCGACGAGTGCTTGACAAAGGCCATCCTTTAAACAGATAATATGAAGAGTAATGAACGAAATTCGACGTCCTCATTGCAATAGTATCTGTCTCCGTCATTGGCGACCTCGCGTTAAGGCACAATTCCGCGGATCGAACGTTGTTTACGGTTTTGAATCGTTCTCTCGTTTCCTTTCCTTTTTCTTTTCTTTTTCGCGGATATTTTTCTCTACCTCGCGTCTCTCATTTTAGTTCCCTCTCTTTTCTCTCTCGCACACGCGCGAAGGTCGGTTATACGCACACGAGGCGGTAGGGGCACGCGCTTGTAGGAAAAACATGGCGGTCAACCTTGCTCGAAAGAGTGTGTTTAAAACGGAGAGAAAAAGAATACGAAAAGGAAGGAAAGAAGAAGGAGAAGGTGGGAGGAAGGAAAGGCTAAAACGAGACCAGACGGCAATGACCCGAAAGTTTTCGGGTCTTCACTCCTCGGGATCTCGTTCCTTTCTTCCTGCCTGCCCTCTCCCCGTCCCCATCGTTTTCGATATACACACGACGCATCCTTCTTTTCTCTTACGCTTCTTCCATCTCTTCTCCTTCTCCTCCTGCTCCTCCTTTTTCATCGCGGGCGAGTCGTCCTTCTCTCTTTTTCTCATTCTTTCTCTCCCCCTTTTCCCTGCCTGTCCCTCCCCGGCCGGACCGACCCGAACCCGTGCCGTTTCTTTTCTTCCCGGACCTGGGACAACCGCGATCGAGTTGGGAACGATCAACCCAAACGAGGAGGAGAGATCCGAATCTTGGGCAGGACCAGTTTAAAATAACACCAGACGTCGTTGACCCTACGTCTTTCGGCTGGCCTTTTTCTTACGCCTCGACTTCCCCCCTTCTAAGATTCTTCACTCGCGACGCCAATTTTCCAATGAATATTTTTAGCTACCACTCGCGTGCGTTTCCACGTTTCGCACGCCGTTTCGGTCACACCTAGCCTCTCTCCACCTAGCTCGTTAATTTCGTCGCTTTCGTTAATTTCATTTTCGTGGATTCATTTCGTTAATTTCATCTATATTCTCTCCCCTTCGCTCAACGCGCGAAACAATAAAACCGAGTGCGTTCGATGCTTGATCTCTGCTTGATACCTGGCCCGCGGAAACTTCCTTGGCCTAATTGAGAACTGAAGCCGCCGCGAACGATAAACGTTCGAGCGAGAAACGAAACGAGAGAAAAATATACGTAGCAGAGAATGATGGAACGCGGGTGCATCAATGAATCGCAAGTTTAGAGGGTCCTTGCCCCTTGGCCGTTCCCTCAGCGCGGCAAACCGCTTTCTTCTTTTTACTCGCGGCGAAAACACCCACGCTCGCCTCCTCGTCGTGTCGTCGTCGTGTTCTTCTTTCACGATAGGCGATATTCTTCCCAAGGCACGCCTCTCCGGTTGTTTTTGACGGGCCAAAGCCCCGGCGTCCTTCTTTCTTCCCGGACCTAGGGCAAGCCCGAGCCGGTTGAACCGACACACGAAGAAGAAGATGCTGGGCCATCGACGTCGTCGGCGTCGTTGGTGCTGTTGTTGTTGCTGCTGGTGCTGATGCTGGTGCTGCTGCATGTAAGTTATTCTCGGAGGGAGGCTGCGGTCCGTAGGTTCGACGCCCCGACCTGGCCCAACTGGAAAAAACCGGTTTCTTCGTTGCGCTCTTCCTTTTTTGCCTGCATCCTCGCTTTTTGCACCGCGAATACCTCGACTCTCCTTCTGCTGCCCCGCTCTCTTTCTCTTCGTTCCTTTTCCGTGCGCTCCGTCCTCCTCTTTCTCTTCTCTTTTACCCATGCCCCGATCCTCTCTTTGCTCCTTTCTCTTTGCCTCTCTCTGTCTTACTCTCTTTCTTTCTCTCTCGTTGCACGCTGGTTGCAGGAGAGTGGTGCAGCAGCAGCGTGGGCGAATCCCCAAGGGACTTTATGATTCGCCGTGACCAGATTCATCTCTGCTCGACTGTACGTGCTTGCTGGCCGCGAGCACAGCGCACCTTTATTCCCAATTCCACGCTTCCTGGTCCTTCGGACAGGCTCGATGCGTTTCTAGGTTCAGCTACGGCTTCGCTGTAGAGAGCTTTCTCGGTTTATTTTTTCTTTTTCTTTTTTTTTTTTTTTCTTTTTTAATAGACAAAGGATTCTTGTCGTTCTGTTCCCGTCTCCCCTCCATCCCTCCTTTTTTTAATTTTTATTTTGCAACGAGATAACGCGTCAAATTGCATCTCCGCTATCCCCGCGCCCTGCAGCGATAACTATTTATCTGGTCAAACTCCTTGGTGTGTTTAAGCTCGGGCCAGGGAGTGGCGTAAAAAGGAAGTGGGTGTGAGCACACGCGTAGCGATGCGTGACGCTGGGCTTCGTGGAGCCATTTTGTGTCGAGAGAAAAGGGACCATCTTCGATCGACTCGAAGAAAATCAAGTGTGAAAACGACGTATCAACGACCTCGACGTCGCCGCGTTTCGATTCACGCGTTGCTCTTCTGTTCGTCGCATCAAATCGCTTCCGCTTTTCCTTTCTCTCTCTCTCTCTCTCTCTCTCTCTCTCTCTCTCTCTCTCTCTCGATCCGCCACGGACACGTGCTTTACACGACAATTGTTTGATAAAAGATTCGCAAAAAATTGCAGCGAAACGGCAGAGGGTTCCTCTGTTTTCCTCGAGCAAAGCGATAAAATCCCGAAGGCCGTTCTCGCGGCGCGCAATTCTTTTCGCGTCATTTCTCTCTTCTTTTTCCTCTTTTTTTTCCGCCAGCCGTGCTCCTTTCCTTGGCTTTTTTAGCCGCAACGAGGCCGCGAGCCTCGCCGGCAGACAACCTTCGTACGATACTCGGTTACACCAACAAACGAAGTCTGTAAAAGATATTCCGTTGACCGGTTGTCTTGCACTTTCAGCGTCGGGTCCCTTCGAGAACGCTGCTTGCTTGGAAACGATGTTTGTTTCGCAAGCGCGCGTGATATCATCGCGTTATCTATCGAAATCCTCTTTCCATCATTTTTCTTCGTATTTTTTTTTCTTCCTCTTCTTCTTCTTCTTCTTCTTCTTCTTCTTTGCGTATTTTTCTCTTTACGTAAATAACAGCGAACGATCGGAACGGAACTTCTTGAACGATAATTCATTACGGTCGTTCGACCGTTACGAAAATATCTGATATTGTTGTTGGACCACTACGCTTCGTTGACACGAGCACGCAGTTAAAAAAAAATTGGGATCGTGAATATTGAATGAACGCGGTATGAAATAATCCGCGGCGAGACACGGCGTGATTTCTTTCATTAAGACCTGTTTGGTTTCATCCCCCCCTCTTCTCTCTCTCTCTCTCTCTCTCTCTCTCTCTCTCTCTCTTTCATTTTCACTCTCTGGTTGTCTCTTTTTTCTCCCTTTTGTGTCACCTATCGCGTATTATTCCAGGCCGACGTGTTTTTTTTTCCCGAGCGTATCACGCGCTGGTAATCCGCGGGTTATGCGTGTCCGATCACCTCCCCCGGAGGAGCAAGAGGAGGAAAGACGAGCGGGGATTGGGAGAAAGAAAAAAAAAAAAACTGTAACTACCGGCGAAAGGGTTGAGAATGCAGCTTCCCCCCGTGTTGTGCCAATAGCAGTTTCGACGCGACCCTCTAACGCCTTCGTTACTAGGAGAGTTCAAAAAAAGAAAAAGAAAAAAACGCAGGGGTGTTGCACAATGGAGAGAAATCCCACCCCAGCCGAATCGGCGCGGGAATGATTTCATTAGGTCTCGGTCGGCGATGGAGTGTGTGTACACGGTGGCGTAAGAGAGAAGCGAAAAAAAGGGGCTCGCAGAGGCGGAGACTGTGCAAAAAATTAATATCGAGGGGAACCGGCGCGAGGCTGGGGATGAAGAGAGAGTGTGAGAGTGTGTGTGTGAGAGAGAGAGAGAGAGAGAGAGAGAGAGAAAAGAAAAAAAATGGTCGGAATAGACGAGAGGAGATTTCATTAGATTGAAATGCATGGACGCGTTGATTTCTGAGTTGATCTGACTCTGATGGTGGACGTGAACGAAACGATGGTCGCGGAAAAATCTGACATCGCTCGGAAGAAAAGAAGTTTTGGACAGAGTGGTCCACCACTCCCCGTTTCGCGTGAACGCACTTCGCCACGAAAGGCCGTGTCCCACATTTCTATTTTAACGTCGTAAAAGAAGCAAAGAACGAGATCCTTCTGGAGACTCGCCAGGCAACGATGTTGCACCGTCGAGGGAACGTTAACGTTCGGAGAGACATGCGGCTGACACTCGCGCGGGAAATCGTCGAAATCACGTCAGAAAACGTGTGGCGTAGGGGTGTAAAAAAGCAAAAAAATTGCGTGCACCCTGTTTCTCAGGTGATTCGGAGCAGCTTCGATCGATTCGAAGGACGACTCTTAGAGACAGATACGAGTGTGTTAACACAGAGGCGCGACGCGGTGTACAACGAGGCGAACGCGTACGATTTTCTGGAGCGATAAGACGGAGAAACGACGCCGGGGAATCGTTAGATCGTGCGTATCGAGGCTTTTAATGTAGCCAATTATCACGGCGGATGCAAAGGACACGATCAATTAACGAACGCCAGATACTAGACAAACATGGAACGTATTTCGTATTTCCTCGTAGTTTCATCGAGTTTAAAGGAGGAAAAGAGGTGTTGGGTGTGGGGGTGGGGGCAAGAGGAGGGGCAGAGGAAATCGATGGAAAGAGAACGACTCGCGGTTTCCTCGTTACTCTGCCATGGACAAATGAAACGTGAAATTTTGCAAGCATATCGGAATTACACCCGAAAGGAATTCCCATGGGCAGTGCCGCATTTTGACCCGATCATTTTACCTTTAATCGTTGCCATGGGTACTTGGAACACTGCGACAAAGAGAGACCAGCATGAAATGAAGATCAATTTGCATTAATTCGAGATAATTAAATATCGTTTAGATTCAGTTGCATTTTTTTTTTTCAGAATGCCCACACTCCAACGTCCCTTGCTCGATTGCAAAGAGTATAAACAAGCGTTTCGTTCGCAATTCGACGGTGCTTTTACGCGCACTGAAACTCGTTCTCGCGCGACGAAGTGAAATTTGGATCAGAATGGCGAATCAGAGTTTCTCCTCAATTGAAAAATTGTACGAAACAGAAAGAACGAGTGAATACCACAACGGGGGGGAAAAACAAAAAAAAAAAGAAAAAAAAGAAAAAAAAGGAAAAAAACAAAGATGTAAAAGAGATGTAAAAGGTACGGTAAGCAAAGTTAAAGAAGCAGCGTAACGGACGCGGCACGGTTTTTAAAACACGGGAATGAATCCCCGTGGCGAGGAAAAATAAATCTAATGGCTAACGAGTTTTTACCGAGCTCCGCGCTTGGGCAATTAAGAAGAGGGTAGAGGGGCACGATGGGAAGACCCCGGAGGTGAGTTGGAAGAAGGTCGAAGGTACGAGAAAGTCCGCCAGCAGAAAGGGTTGTATCGTGTTGCACGACATTCAACCCTTGTACCGCTAAACTACAGATAAATACGAAAGCTCTGTGCCACGCAAAAGTGGGTAAGACGTGACGGAGAAGCAGCGAAGAAACCAGACACGGGCGAGTTCGCAGTGCTTTGGGATTTCTGACGCGTTTCTGCTACTTTTTTTTTTTCTTTTACTTTCCTATCGTTTAGCGTTTCCTTTCTCTCTCTCTCTCTCTCTCTCTCTCTATCCCTGATCGCGTCGAATAGATTTAACGCTCGAGAGAGAGGACGTCGTTGAACGACGCCCGACGAAAAAGGGTGGGCGGGGGTGAGATCCGTTTGAAATTGATTTCCTCGATCGAACTAGTCCGTTCTTCCCGTCGAATGGTCTCTTGTCTTTTAACGGGAAGTTTCCGAACGTGTAAAGCTCACGTGAATTCGAAGAAACATCGGCCCCGGTTCTCTCTCGGCTGGCTCGGAACAAAGAAAAGGGATAACACAGTTCATAAGACGCACGAAGGAGGCGTAGAAGGAGGAAATCTAAGTTTCTACGGCTGGCTACCGATCGTTCCTGTATAATACATTTACGCTCCGGCCTATTATAATATTGTACTCGGAGTGTATTGTCTTTCTCGGCTCGGGATAATGTTTCGTCGACACGCCAGGCCTCGACCCACAGTGTAACTCTTTCATTTCCCCTTTCTCTTGCTCTCTTTCTCCTACTTTTGCTCTCTGCCTCTCCCTCTCCCTTCTTCACCTTCTCCTTCTTCTTCTTCTTCTTCTTCTGCTGCTTTTTCCTTCTTCTTCTTCTTCTTCTTCTTCTTCTTCTTCTCGTTTTAAACAACGATCCATTAGCTATCAGGGTAGCTCGACGAAGAGGTGGGGCTAGATAGCCTGGAATAGCGAAAACAATTTCAAGAAATCTGCCCCGGCGAAAATTCGATTAGCCGGGCAAGATGGGCTCGAGCTCTCTCTCCGTTTGTTTCGTTTCGTTTTATTTTCGCCAGGCGGACGGACTCTGTTTCTGTCGCGCTGGCGGCTTTTAATTACTTCTCCGCACTCTCTCGCGACGTTCTCGTGCTCGTCTCTCTTCTTCTCCTTCTATTTCTTCTCTCTCGTCTTCTTCTTCCTCTTCCTCTTTCTCCTCTTCATCCTCTTCTTCTTCTCCTTCTCCTTCTTCTTTTACTATTTCATCTTCTTCTCAGTTTCTTTTTATACCCCGGAACTCGCGCGCTACAAAGACGCTCACTGTACGCGCGGGCTACTTTTAACTCGAGCCGTTTTCTTTCTCTCCCCTTCCCTCACCCGCGCCGACGCCGCGCCTGGATCTCGTCATTTTATTAAAACGCGTTTGTCCGTGATTTCGCGACGAACGCGAGTTCCGCGTGCACGTCCGCTTTCCGTAGGTGGAAAGTCGAATTCCCCGGTACAGTTCTTGTCGGAGATTTATAGGGTCACGGAACGTGGGAGGGACGCCCAGAACAGGAGGCTTTAGCCGAGGATTAGCTTTCAATTAAAAGGATCTCGTCGGAGCGGAGCGTGTTAAAAGAACGGATATTTATTGCCCAGAAAGCGGCAGTGCAACTTGGATTACGGTCGCGTGGCTTGCGTTCGACGCACCTGATTCCGCACCGTTTCACAAAACGATTTAAAATCCTTTTAAAGGGGTTCTCGATCGGAGAAAGAAGAAGAAAGAAAAAAAAAAAGAAAAAAAGAACAGGAGAAAAAGTAGAAAAGGAGGAAAGGAAGAAAGAAGAAGAAAACGCGTTTCGATCTGTTCCTTCTTCCAAGAGGAGCAAGCGAAATACCAAACGACGAGAACGGACTAAATTAATTAGACTCGGTGTTATCGAGAGCCAGGCACGGTAGCAAGAGGTGACTTTACTGGTATACCGGTTAGAACGTCGTTCGTCGAACGTCGATCATGGTATTAATGATTGAAACTGTTGTCGGAGTTTACCGTGTATCCTCTTTTAGACCACTTACAAGGAGATGGCCAGTTTACGACTGGTTACGCAACGTGCCTGGCCTAATTGGCCAGGATAAAAAGAAGCCGATTGGGTTTTTCGCTGCGGCGAAAGAAGCGCGAGAAGACGAGCAAAGAGGAACAAGAGAAAAGACCCGAGTCACGGACGGCACGTCGACAGATGCCTTCCCACGTTTTTTCGTCAAGACATGTGCCTGGCGCGGCGAAAGGGTTGAGAAATTCAGTTGGCCGACAACCGAACACCGAAGCAAAAAACCACCCCACGGTACAAGATTCCTCTGGTAATCGCTACGTGCCGCGATTCACCGCCAGGGGTGAATTCGATTAAGTGTCGGGGGACTGCGATCTTTTTCCCAGATCATCCGATTTTTTTTCCCTCCTCTCTCTCCCTTTCTCTTTCTCTTTCTCTCTTTTCTCTCGCCACGTCCGATCTGCAATGCACGACGCTGCTTAGGTAGGATTCTGTTCTCCAAACACGGGATTGACGCGTCAATGAACACGGATTGTTCGTTCCCGTTGTTCTTCGAACTCGAGGAGTTTTTCGAGTCATCGTGTGCTTGTTCGTTGGGCTAGCACGCTAAAACGAACACTGTGCTCTTGACACTTGCTTCTTCTCCAACGATTTCTTTTTTTTCCTTTTTTTTTTTTTTT